AGACTCAATGAGCCGGACGGTCCTTTTTGACCGCCGATAACGGACATTGTACAGTCTTTCCCGGCACTCCCTACGCTACCGACCATCACGTGTCGAGAACGCCGAGCCGTAGCTGCCGCCGTCCAACCATCTACACACCGTCTGTCGAGAACGTCGAGCCATAGCCGTCGCTATCCGGTCATTGACCTACCTCTTGCCGGTAGAGTTGAATTTGTTCTACACACCACCAGTCGAAAAACCAACATACCGCCACGCAGAGCTGAGTCACTGTTGTTTACCGAGAGTCGAGCCGTTCACGCCGGTAATAATCAATTATTACCGTGCTGCCGTGATCGCGCCACTGTACGTGGATGCTCATTGCCACCATCGTCCCGCCACATACCATTCTACAAACCGTGAGTTAAATATTCATGCTGTTCCCCCCCAATATTTTATGTAAATCCCGTAATTAAAATATTTTTTATGTACACTCGCAAGAGTATAATATATAATAATTCAAAAGAAATACTGTATTACACATCACCAAATTGTATCTGTATAACGAATTATTACGTATGTGAAATAAACGTGAAATAATAAATTGAATAAATACCAACACGTTATTTTCCTTACATTTGGCGCCCAACTGCAGTGCTCGAGTAAGAAAATAATTCTACATCGACCCACGAGATTTAAAAAAGAAGACAATTTTGTTGAAGAAAAACTACATCGTGAACATGGCTCCAAAGAAGAATGTCACAGAAGAAGCATTTAACGCGTTCAGGGAGGAAGTAGAACGAAACAGTCAATATTTAGTAAATCAATTGTTACAGAAAATTGAAAGCCTCAAAGAAGACTACGTCAGTAAAATAGAAAACATTGAAGAAAATTGGGCAAGAAAATTAGTAGAAATTGAACAAAAATATGAACTTCGGGAACAACGAGCATCACCACCACCAGCGCATAACTGTATAAATAATAATAATTTGCATCACACAGATATTGCACGACCTACATTTTTTGGAAACGGACGAGACATACATCCACGAGATTTCTTAAGTCGACTCGAGGAATATTTCGCCATTAAACAAACGTACGTGGGAGAAAAAATCATTGTCGTGGGAGATTGCCTAAAATCGAACGCGTATAGTTGGTTTTCAACGGTGCGTTTTCAATTATGCAATTATGAAGACTTCAAGAGAGCATTTATCGATGAGTATTGGTCCAGGGAAATTCAAATTCAAGTCTGGAGCCAATGCTTAAATGTGAGTCAGGTAACAGCAAATTACCGAGAACATTTTGCGACCTGGGCCACAAAATTGCGACACCTGGAGGTACCAAGACTATCCGAACCAGAAATCGTAAAACACATTGCCAAACATTATCCTGGGTACTTAAGAGCAATACTTGTATCACTACCTGAGAGGACAATAGTAGCTGCCATGAAAATTCTGGGAGAAGAAGAAAACACAAACGAAAAACCAGAACAGACAGCAACGGACCGCAATAACAATCAACAAAAAAGCAATAATTGGAACAATCAACGGAATAATGGATGGAACAGTTTTCAGCCGCGAAACAATCGATGGAACAACAACCAACCATACCGGCCAAACGATAACAACAAAGGTGGAGAAGCGCAACAAAAAAGCACACCACAGACTGAACAAATCAAACAAGTGTCAGTAAGTGCCGACCCACAAGATGGACCAAGTGACAGTGAAACTTATGCAGTAAACTCATTAAATGCTACAAACGCATCGATAAGCCCGTATTTAAAGTGTGAGATTGAAGGGGAGGAAATGCTATTGTTGGTCGACACCGGAGCCACAGTAAGTGTGCTCACCAAGGAAGTAGTTGATGTGGTCACGCAGAGAAATTCTAGAATACCACAGTTCCCAGTCACGGGCATACAAATCAGCAACGCCGTAGGAAAGAAGATATGCAAAGTGTCTAAACAAATATTTTGTGAATGCAAGATAGGGGACATTTACCTACAGACTAATTTCATTCAGGTAGAAGGCCTAAATGAAAAAGGAATTATTGGAGCAGACATATTGAACAAATATTCAGCACAAATTAAATTCAACAAACAGACAGTACAATTCAACGTCAATAATATACCAATCACTGTACCATTCGCCAACAGAGAACCAAGGATAACCAAGGATCATCTGCTTAACGTAGAAATTAATGACAACTTGGATAATGACCACGTCAGTCTAAACGATCAAGAAAGTCAAATGTTTGTATCATTGTTAAACAAGTACGAACACATTTTTTCTGAACAACCTGGAAAGATTACCGAGTTTCAATGTCAAATACGTGTCAAACCAGGGGACCCAATTTACCAGCGACCCTATCCAATACCAGTATCGAGGATACCTAAGGTGGATGCCGAGATACAGAGGATGCTAGATTTACAAGTCATAGAAAAATCAACATCACCATGGTCATCACCCATAGTATGTATTGAGAAGAAAAATGGAGAGATTCGATTATGCCTAGATGCCAGAAAAATTAACACAGTCATAATACCGGATCGAGAATGTCCAACAAATATGGACGACACTCTCATCAAGTTCCAGGGAACGAAATACCTAAGCTCGATTGACTTGACGGCAGGTTATTGGCAGTGTCCACTAAAAGCCGAATGTCGGGAAATTACAGCATTTTTGCACAAAGGCCGTAATTACCAGTTTAAGGTATTACCTTTTGGATTAATCAATTCAGTTGCCGAGTTCCAAAAAATCTTAGATCAAGTATTAGGACCGGAAATTCTACAATTTGCCGCCATATATGTCGATGACATACACATCACTTCCACGAGTTTTCAAGAACATATTTGTCACTTAGAACAAATCTTTGAAAAATTTGCACAACACCACATCACAATCAACAGAAAAAAGTCACAATTTTTGAAAAAACAAGTGATTTTTCTGGGTCACATAATAAGTGAAAAAGGGATATCTATGGACCCAGATAAAATACAAGCCGTGATGAACTTCCAGCCGCCCAAGACGAAAAAACAGGTACAAGCATTCATTGGTTTCATAAATTTTTACAGAAAATTCATCAGGGATCTATCTCAAGACACCGGACAACTTAGTAAATTAACCAAAAAAGATGCAAAATGGATGTGGGGAACCATACAGCAGCAAGCTTTTGACAACATAAAACAAAAATTCCTCGAGGATATAATAATTCAATTCCCAGATTTCAAGAGAGAATTTCATCTGAACACCGATGCCTCCACAACTCACCTTGGGGCTGAACTCTATCAAATTACGGAAGAAGGACAACACCAAACCCTCAGTTTTGCCAGTAGGACATTAAAAGCAGCTGAGCAAAACTACAACACCACGGAGCTTGAATTGCTTGCAATAGTTTTCGCATGTAAAAAATTTAGAAATTATTTACTTGGACATAAGACCAAAATATTAACCGACCATCATGCACTTACATTCATAAATACGTGTCAACTACTCAATGCTCGACTGGTCAGATGGACTACATTTCTCCAGGAGTTTCAGTTAGAAATAACACACATTCCAGGGAAAGAGAATGTCGGTGCCGACACATTAACACGGTATCCGCAGTCACACACCGACGACGCAACAGCCAGCAACAAGATAATCATTATCAACAAATTATCGCTATTAGAATACAGCAAGGAATTAAAAGAACAATTCAAAGACTTCGAGGTATTACAACAGCAAGATGAACACATTCAGAAACTTAAAAAAAGGGTCACGCAAAGGACCAATCATAATCTCATGATACATCAGAACCTACTATTTCGTCAAGCGCCCTCGGGTGACTATCAGATCATGGTGCCAGAGATAGCAGTAAAACAGCTGGTGGAAGAAACACACAAAATATATGGCCATTGCGGGACGTATAAGACATATAAACTGTTGCAGCAGGACCACCAATTTAAAAACATGTATCGGACGATTAAGCAAATAATCAAAACATGTGATCTGTGCCAGAAGGCGAAAATAAGCAATATAACGGCTAGGGGACCAACGTTAAGCCTCCTACCCACCGAACCAAGGGAAATGGTATCTGCCGACCTAATGGGCCCGCTACCCAGGGGACAGGGAGGATGTAGATACATCTTGGCAATATTGGATGTGTTCTCCAAATATATCAAACTATATCCATTAAAAAGAGCCACTACCGACACCATAATAAAACGACTAGTGAGTGAATACATACCCACCATTGGTTTGTTCAAGAAGATCCTAACCGACAACGGAACGCAGTTCACCAGTACTAAATGGGAAAAAGTCATGCAAGGATTGAAAATCACCAACCTGCACACAACGATTTATCATCCGGAGAGTAATCCAGTAGAGAGGGCAAATCGGGAAATTGGCCGCCTACTAAGAACCTACTGTCATAAGCAACATACAAATTGGTTAAAATGGTTAGATAATGTAGAATACTGGATCAACCACACTACCCATACAACCACTGGTTATACACCAAACTACATAATGTTTGGGGAGAAAACCAAGTTATCAATAAGCAAATTGGTAGTTTTTCCTAAACACGAGGACCTGAAGAAACCCCCCGACATTATACAGATTGTAATGAAACGGTCAAAAAAGCAAGCTGATCTGCGAAACGCATACAAAGACAGAGATAAACGATTCCCTCAGTATAACGTGGGCGATCAGATCCTGATCAAAGAACATAGGTTATCCTCCGCTGAGGATAAGGAGACCCATAAATTATTCCTGATCTACCACGGACCATACCAAATACAAGCAGTACATAATAATAACACGGTAACTATCCAAATCAATGGAAGTCATCGAACCATCAACTTCAAAAACATCAAGAGATACTACAAACCCGTGAGCGGAGTATCTCAAACAAATAATTAAAAAAAAAAAAAAAAAAAAAAAAAACAATATATATGTCGCCCAAAATAACTTGCTTGTGAATCCATGTGATAAACTTTTAAATTCTTATGTAACACAAATACCCCCCACTATGTAGGAACCAGAAAGATGTTCGTACAGATTCCATTGACCAAAATAAAAAGCAGAAAGGTCTTGCACAAAATGGAGGTAACCCACATCGACAAACTGCTAACCATCGAAGAAAGACGCAAAATAGCCATGTTCTACCGTCAGGAGGAGGCAAAGAGAACTAGATACAACCCGGAACCCTCATGGAGCCTTCCACCTACCATGCAAGCCATCCAGAATCCCCGGTAGAGATCAGAAAGAGTATACTAAAGGTCGGAGCCTACTTGAAGGACTTTGAAAATGTTTCCAAGACTCGCCTGCGAAGACTGATCTACAAGGAGAAGAATCAAAGGATAAAGGTTATGAAACAACAATATCAACCATAACAACAGCAAACTAATAATTCACTACACCACAAACACACAGCGTCAAAATTTTAAAGTTTTTATTTTTATTTTTTTTTTTTTTTCTCTCTCACTCCAAAATCTTCAAAAAAAATAATAAATAAAAAAGGGGACAATGTAATGAGACAAAACGGTGTGGCCATTAACGTGGCGCACTCTCGTTGTGATCATTACCCACGGTCAAACATCGCCCGCCGCGTAGAAACATCGACCGCCCAACCGCAAACCGCAAACCACAGATAGCGCTCCGCCGCGCAATGATTAAACAACGCATGCCGCCCACGGAAAACCTGAGTTTTCCGTGGGAACCAATAGAGCTATCAAAACGTTACGAACATATTCAAAATCAGCGTTATTTTCACCATAATCTGGTAATCTCCAAACACTCTGAACAATAACCTGCAGTTTCGAATCACGCAAGGTGTCAGATAACATTCGAGACGGGACCAGCGAGCCTCGAATGGCATAAATACAGGCCGCTGGCCGCCGTACACACACAGTTCTCCAGCTGAGAGAAGCGAGAATAGCAAGCCGGACGGTATTTGTTACCGCCGAGAACGGATGCTAATTTCGAAACTCTATTACAGCAATTCCTGCCCACTAGACTCAATGAGCCGGACGGTCCTTTTTGACCGCCGATAACGGACATTGTACAGTCTTTCCCGGCACTCCCTACGCTACCGACCATCACGTGTCGAGAACGCCGAGCCGTAGCTGCCGTCGTCCAACCATCTACACACCGTCTGTCGAGAACGTCGAGCCATAGCCGTCGCTATCCGGTCATTGACCTACCTCTTGCCGGTAGAGTTGAATTTGTTCTACACACCACCAGTCGAAAAACCAACATACCGCCACGCAGAGCTGAGTCACTGTTGTTTACCGAGAGTCGAGCCGTTCACGCCGATAATAATCAATTATTACCGTGCTGCCGTGATCGCGCCACTGTACGTGGATGCTCATTGCCACCATCGTCCCGCCACATACCATTCTACAAACCGTGAGTTAAATATTCATGCTGTTCCCCCCCAATATTTTATGTAAATCCCGTAATTAAAATATTTTTTATGTACACTCGCAAGAGTATAATATATAATAATTCAAAAGAAATACTGTATTACACATCACCAAATTGTATCTGTATAACGAATTATTACGTATGTGAAATAAACGTGAAATAATAAATTGAATAAATACCAACACGTTATTTTCCTTACAATTTTAGTTTGTTTTTATGTTATAAAATTAGTTATCAATTTTTTCTCTTGGCAATTGAATCAATTGTCAGGTTATTATGGCAAACTTTTATTTAAAAAGTAAAATGAAAAAAGTACTAACTCAATGTCGAATTTAAAATTACATTCGCACTTTAATTTCAGTATTTGTAGGCCAATTAAAACACATTACAAAATAAATAGATATGGATGTACACCAATATCCCTCCTCCAACAAATTATGCATCTGATTTAATACTACAAATTGATTTTTTTTTAATGAAAATTATATTGTATTGTATTGATGGTTAATTAAAAATCATGTCTGTATTTAATAGGATAAATATGATAAAATGTAGTAACACTAATTTAGTCACAAGTATTTTATGATTATACCTAATAAAGGATTTGTTTTCAGCAAAGAAATCGAAAACTGTAGTAAAAGCAAAAATCATTTTTCATCTGAAAAAAAAAGAAAATTTTAGTTATAACGTTTTTAGTTTTTATTGTATATACTAGTTTCTAATGCGTAAAAAATCATTAGCAATTATCATAGATTTTGCTAACGTTGGATCAGTGTTTCGGGCCATTAATCACATTTAATTAATTAATGGTTAAATTATCCAAACCATTGCACGGTGCACTGTGTATTGGAACCAGTGACCAATGTGAAACGAAGTTGACGGAGAAGAGCGAAACGGAGATCAACTCACCGGAAATCAATTTTACACACAAATTCGTTGACGTTTTGAATTTGACAAACTTAAGCGTAAAAAGGTGGGCAAGTGGGTGTCGCTCTGCTGTACAGTAGGTTACAAGTGGGTCACTGTATAATGGATGGTATTAAATTTGAATTCAATGATATAATATCATTGTATAAGAAAAACGATTCTGAGCGGTGATGGTATGTCAGTCTATGTATAAGGCATATTATATACATATCTATGGTATTAAACAAAAAATTGACCTATAATAGGTACCTATAATAAATTCCAAATTAATCATATCACAATATCCATTAGATACTTATAACGCGTTATACATCAACAAAAACCGTGATACTATCATAGATATATAATAGTACACTTTAGAAGTTTCAAGTACCCACGAATAGTATTATTCAATCACAACAAAATAACTAAAATCGTAATTCTTGGTTTAAATATGAAATTTTGTCTAAATTTGAAATTAAAATGTCTGTAAAAAATAAGTGTGTTTATATATTTTTTAGATTTTTTGGTTACAGTATGAATTATTTAAGAGAATCTTTGTTTTAAATTTTCAACTCTTAGTTATAAAAACTGAACATTTTATAATTTTTTAATTCCAACGATTGATAATTTTCGAGATTTTGATAAATTTTGTCAAAATTCCAACTTTAAATGCTTATAAAAAAAAATCGTGTCTATGTATTTTTAATATTTTTCAACTGATATTGTAACAATATATCAGGAGCCTTGTATTAAATTTTTACACTTTTTGGCCCAACAGATAAAACTTTATTGATATTTATAGAAAAAAAAACTAAAAAAAATTGAAAGCTGTAAATGTCCATAAACAGCTCAAAAAGAGTAAAATATTTTCAAAATTGTATGGTGTATATGAAATGCTAATATAAACATTCAGTGAAATTTTCATGTATCTACAGTTATTCGTTTTTGAATTACAACAAAATAAGGAAATCGCTACATGAGAAATCGAGTGAAAATCCAATGTTGTAAAAATTTGAATTTCAAACGCTCATAAAAATTTAATTTGACTGTCCGGTAGAGATTTTTTTATTGATAAAGGTAGATAATCTTATAAGGAATCTTGTGTTTCATTTTCAAATCTTAGATTTAAAAAGAAAAATTTTTACGAATTCTTAACTCAAAATAATTTGCTAATTTTCGTGATTTTTCCATATTTTGTCAATTTTTGAACTTTAAATGCTTATAAAAAAAATTGTGACTAAGGATTTTTAATATTTTTCATCTGCCCTTGAAACAATATATTAGGAGCCTTCTATTAAATTTTCAAGCTTTCGCAACCAACAAATAAAATTTTATTGATATTTCTAGAAAAAAAACTAAAAAAAAACTAAAAATGAAAATGTCCCTAAACTGTTCAAAATAAATCAAAATATTTTGAAAATGTTATCGTGTATAGAAAATGCAAATATAAACAACCAGTGAAAATTTCATGTATCTACGGTCATTTGTTTTAAAGTTACACCAATAACCAAATTCGATTTTTTGGAAAACTGATTTTGCGTAAAAATTCCCGTTTTTCCTTAATTTTTATGTTGTTTTTCCCGGCGCTTGTGAAAACTACTGGAAAATGTTTACTTTTGACCCCCCAAAGTACCAACTAGATTCACTTTCCTATCAGAAAAGGTACTATTGAAGAAAATCGAAGCACTTTTACTGTCCCAAAACGTGATGACAGACACAAAAAAAATATAAAAATATAAAAATATAAAAACATACATCATTGTAAAACCAATACATTCATCGCTCCGCTCAGAATCTAAAAGTACAAACAATTTAGAAACATCATGACATTTTCTTCGGGCAAGTCACGGTGTCCGGAGAATAAGTGCCACCGTCCCCCACCGGGGCATGATAGATACCTACGGGTGCCCAAATCAAAAATTCTGCCAAAACAAACACACACGCGTAACAAATCTACAGTACCCTCCCCTACAGTACCATAAGCTAATAACCTAGTAGTTGGAACCTTAACCCTAATAAAATATAATATAATTTCACATCATGTTCTCCTAATGACCGAGGGAACACAATAATTGCTTTGTCCAATATGTAATCGATTGTATGATAAAAAGAAACAGTGTTGAGTTTCCTCGGATGAGAATATTATTCTTGGCCTAGATTTCACATACGTCAATGATAATTGTATTTAGTTCTGGTTAATGCTATTAACGTTATACACATACTGTGAATACAAGTTATTTATTGTTGATTTGGTATCCCATTTCCTGAAGGATTATGGAGCAGTCAGGTCTATAGTATACACGTTAAATTAAATATTCCTCAAAAACGGGTTTAAAAAAAAAAAAAACTAAGGCTACACTAGTTTATTACTCGGTGAATTAAATTTAAAAACGATTTCGTGTGTGAGAATATGAGATTAACGGTTTTTGTATAGTTTTGATTGTGAATGGATCACTTTGGTAATCTTAAAGTGGTCAATAATAAAATATTTTATCTATGATTTAACGTAACAAATTGTTAAATTGGAATATAGGTATTATTGTAAACATTGTGTGCATGGTTAGAACATTAAAAAGTGAAAAAAATTGCATGTTTATAAATAGCTTAAACGAGTCCCTCGACTATATTTTAGTATAATAATGACATTGTGTGTGATGCCAGTTGTTAACAATAATAAGTCAATACAACTAATATATTATGCATGTATATATTATATTGTTTTTATGAAAATAGTGAAACGTGATAATAACTGAAAAATCACACATTACACATAACAATAATAATATATACTATATAATATAATAACACTTTATTATCTTGAAATAGCAATTATGACTACAGGAAAGGCCAAACGGGAGGTTAATTTTTTGCCACCCCCCCCCCCCTAGATTTTTATCCAGTTACGCAACTGTTACAGGGAG